CCCGAAACCTCGGAAAAGCCTGCACCCCTTTGCTGGGTTCTTGTTGCTAAACAGCTAAAGATACCGCACTGAGGAGAACGATATATTTCAGCTCATATCCCACGATGACGGCCTGAACTACAATCCCGAGAAGAAAGCAGCCACCTTTACCTCAAAAGTTTGTTTGAGTCTGTTTGGATGCAGGCCTTTCGAAGTTTGCCAAAGAATGTGCGCCTGAGACAGTTGCTCTGAAAGCTTGCACAGGGATTTGGGAGTTTTCGAAAACGAGGGATACCTTATTTGGGGGGGGGGTCCTCATTTTAAGGAGGATCCTACTATTTAGGGTACTGGTCCCCCAGTTTCGGAAACCCCCATTTAGGGTCAAGGGGTAGAAGCACCGGGCTGACGGTATTGCCACTCAGTTTAAGGAACCCTGGGGACAGTGTTCAGGGTTTAGGGTTTAGGGTTTAGGGCTTAGGGCTTAGGGAGTCCGTAACCCCCTCTTTGTTTTGACGTTCAGCGCTGGACTGGGTGAGTAGGTCTGTTCAAAACCTAGGAAACACTCGTCGGCTCGACCTGGGCGTGTTTCTTAGGGGCTCCCGGCCGACCGTCTTCGTTTTTGGTGTTTATGTACTGAAGCCGGAAATCGCCGGTGAAGTTGCGGTTTTGCTTTTGGGTGTCAGGGTGCCGCATCCGGGTGGACGGATGCGATAATACTGCAAACCCTTCCGAAACCTTACATGCGAAACCTCATGCGCAAATCTCAGCCATGCGCATTAACCATACCATTATCGCGAACTCATGCCCTGTCGAGGAATGTACATAAAACCATAGCAAACCACGGCTGCCCTTGAAACAAAACCCTGAAATCCCAAAGCCCAAAACACCCAACCCAAGAAACAAGAACAGCTGAAAACCCAAAACCCTAAACCACTAAACCCTAAACCCTATCCCTAAACCCTAAACGACTAAACCCTAAACCCGAAACCTTAAATCACTAAACCTTAACCCTAATCCCTGAACCCTTATAAACCTAAACCCTAATCCCTAAACCCTAAACCCTAATCCACTAAACCCTAAACCACTAAGACCCTATTCCCGAAACCCTAAATCACGAAACCCTAAACCCTAACCCTAAATCAACTAAACCCTAAGACCCTAAACCGCGACACCACCTCGCCTGGCCCCGGCTTCTTGTCCGCGTTCTGCGGCCATCGGCTAAAGCGCCGGCTAAAGCCAAAGGACACTTGCCGAGGGGCCTCGGACATGAGACGGGGGTCGTAAGGGATAGGATCTTTGGCTTTAGGCTTTAGGCGTTGAGGGTTTGGAGG